TTTTTCTTTTCGTTTCGTTGTCCTAAGTAACTGAAAGTCTGTGCAAAATGGTCGCTCAATAACTTTTTTAATATATTTGGGATTATATTGGATAAATTCAATCCACCCACTTGTTTCAGCGTGTTCACCTAGAGACGAGAAAGAGAAAAATAGAAATTCTTTATTAATTAAAAATATCAAATATTGTCAACTAAAATTACACATATATTGTAAATTAAAATGATATATACATATAGGATTTAAGATTTATGTACGTATTATGTAAGTATATGTTTACACGTATTTTTGTTTGAGTGTATATACATTGTATACATACGTATATGTACATGAATATGTTATACATACACGCACGTATATAAAACCACATATTTACCATTTTGTCTGCGAATGAACTATCTTTTAATAACTGTTCTAATCGTTCTAATGCTTGCATATTTTGTAATGGGAGATCATACTCCTCATACAATATAATATTGTCTGTTTCTTCCTCCCTATGCCTCATAATGTTTGATGTTTCTAGCAATATCATTCTATTTTCCAGAGCAGTCATTTTGTTAAGCAACAACTGTAATTTTCTTATAACCTCTTTTTGAAATTCTAAAATTAAAAATAATTGAAACTTTAAGAAATTAAATATAATAACTAAAGTAAGTTGTTGATCGTAGGTCTTTGATCGCAATTCTTCTGCTTTGGTATAAAAAATTCGTGCGCACTTAGCATTTATTATCTCTGATTATAATAAATATTAATGTAATAAAGTAATAATTTTTAATATACATAAATATTAAAAAAAAATGTTTAATACTAACCATTTTCTGCAGTTATTAACAAGTTTTTTTTATTTCCGGTACACATTACATTTTTATCTTTTTTAGTCTTTTCCAAGTTGTCATTTTCATCTAGTAAATTATCACGATATCTCCGTTCTGTTGTGTTACTATTTATTGTCGTTTCTTTATATAAACTTTTATTATGTTTAGCAGAACTCATTTGGCACTCAGATGAACGTTTTACAGATGTTGGTGACGGTGAAACCAATTGACTTGCAGAAATCTTTTTAGTGTTTGTGACACATGATTTGTCTGCAATTTTCGGAAAGGGTGATAATTTTATTGTGTTCTCACTAACGTCAGAATCGAATCCACACTCCTCCGACGAAGAATAATTTTTTTTAGCTCGTGTATGTCTTGATTTTTTTTCTTTGTCGTATCGTCTGTCTTCATTTTCTGTGTTGTCGTCAGGCGTAAAATCTGACATATTTTCAGCAATAAGTAGCTTCTCCTTTGCTCTTTCGTATGAATCTGAAAATATAGATAGACATAAAAAGGATATTTAAATTGGATATATTTACAAATAATGAAAATAATGAACATAATCGAATTTTTTAATAATAAATGTAACCTGTTCTATAGAAGATCCTTAACACGTCATATTTTTTCCAGTTCAAGTTATCTTCAGGAAGTAATTGTAACGCAACAGCCTTTTTTATTTTTGTTGGATTCCGAAAAGTGGGATAAGCACATTTCATTTCACTCTCGTTTAACCAACATGAAGGTACAATTGCCAGGCCATCATCAAATTCTACGATAATGTAGATCTTCGAGCTCTTCGAGGTAGCCATAATAAGTTCCGCTTAAAGTAGAGTTTGCTAAAGGTAGGATCTCGTTAATATAGATTATAGAAGATTAGAATAAACCAAATATAAGTTTATTTTATAGAAATAAACAAACGGGATTGTAAATAATAATTATAACTATTCTTCGAACTTATTCTATATAATTATACATGCATGTACTCGCATATTTATAATTTATATATTTTATAACTAAAGCGCGGATAAGAGCGTTACCGGAAATGCGAGCAAGACTGTCTAATCAAGAACTTTCTCCATATGGTGAGGATTCTCAATTTCAAAATCTCGGTCGTGTTGTCGGTAGCATTCTTATTCGCATTATAACTGTTTTGCAGGATTCACACTGCGTCCGATATCCGACGTACGACATTTGATATCTAATAAGAAAGATTGATTTCTAGAGTAGAGTCTGTAGAAATCAAATTTTCTTATTGGTATTGGATGTCATACATCAGATATAGGACACAGTGTGAATCCTGCATTATACATACGTTATATATTATTAGGTATATGCATTAATTTTTATATGTATGTATTAAGGGACATATAATAAACTGTTCGTTATACGGAATTTTCCAAGCTTTTGCTGCTATACAATTTATGTTCCAAGCATTTAAAATTTGATTTTCATAATTCTCATTTACAATATTTATTTGTAACAGTGAAGACTGAATAGGTACATCATATAAAACTTTTAGGTTTAATAGTTTTTTCCCAATCACTAATATAGTTTTATCTTCACACTGAATAATATTTTCTATTTTTACGTACTCTCCAGTTTCTAATATACAGTAATTATTTCTTTTGTCATTACAGCGGATTGTATATAATGAATTGCGTAATATTTTGTATTGATTTTTAATATTCTTAATATTATTTTGTAAAGGGCCATCAAAATGTTTATTCTCTAAATATAATTCAGAACCTCTTATTTCATAATTCAGAGTCTTTTCTTCAAATTTTTTATTTATATTTTCAATTTCACCAAATCTTTTTGAAATTTGTTGTAATGGTTTGTCTCCTTTTCTTAATAGTTTTTTAATTGTTGACATATAATTTTCAAATCTGAAACAGCTAAAGTTATCTAATATTCCGAATTTTCTTACGTCTGCAACAAGATGTAGTAGATTATGTATATTGTGAGATACATGTGCTTTACCATATAATTTTGCAAAAGAATCAACAAAGTGTTTCAATAAATTTTCAGCATAATCTAAATAATAATTTTCCTTACAAAAAGTTTGATTACATAATATTGAAATAGCAATGTGAAGCGTTAAAAAATTATTATACATATCTCTGTCTAATATATCTTTTAAAACAATAGGCCCTAAATATAAAAGAAAAGTTCTAAATTCTGTAGCTTTCCACTGTTTATAATCTTTCAGAGATCTAGGTCTTCTATTAAATTCTAATGGAACTGTTGATCTTATATTTTTGAGCAATCGAGATATTCGTTTACAGAAGGTGTTGGCTATTCTTTTTGGAAATACATGTTTCAACCATAAACTTATTAATTTTCGCATTACCCCTAAACATACTAAATGCATGTAATCAAGTGGCACACAAGAAACTAATCCAAAATTGTCAATTTCCTTTAACACGCATTCTCCTTGTTGATATTCACCCATGTATTTATTATCTGCTAGTTCTGAATCAGTACGTAAGCTCTTTTTATTTACTCCGGGAAAACATACACGTCCACGCCATTCGCCTCTTATGATACATTTTGTACAGCTAGAGAACCCTGTATGACTTTTTACCGAAAGAACAAATGATTTTGCTGGTGTATCGCAAATCAATGCAGTTAAATTTACTTTTACTGTTATTTCGTTGTCAATGAATCCTGTTGTTATAAATGGCTTTATATCTGATACAAATCTTTTTAAAAATTCATTGGGATCGTTTGGTTTTGTATATCCATAATACAGTCCAGCAATATATACTTTACTACACAGATTTTCCGATACAAGGATAGGCCAAAAACAACCGTTTGAGGACCGAGATATAGTCATGCCATCAATATTTATTAACAAATCTAGTTTACAAATTGTTTTACCACTTTTTCTTATGTCCATTATAATTTTTTCCACAATACTTTTAATATCAAAGTGATAATATTGACCATTGCCCATTTGAATAACGTCAGTAGTATTTCTAGGAGTTTGTAAAAGAGTTCTAGGGTCCTTTGGAAATTTTGTATTAGTATAAGTATTTAAAATTTTCAACAGCGGTGTCAGCGCAGAGTGTGTGATTCCATATTTTATTGCCCATGCAGCTACAGATTGTTTGAAATTTGTATTTTTATTTTCACCTGAAGACTCATCACTCATTGTTTCAGAATAAACATTATTATTATCTGTACTTATTGCTTCTAAGGACTCGTGTAATAATACATTATGTTCAATTGCATTTGGCTGCAATAAGTTGTCATTTAAATTGTCTTGATTTGGTGGTATGTAAGCAACTTCATCTATATTTCTTATTTCTGTAGTAATTTCTTCATTACATTCATCTATATCCATTGACCTAGCACTATTGCAAGGCGAAGTTTGTGCTTGTAATAAACTTGTACTAAAAGAATACGAATCTGCTTCAAGTTTAGCCAAACGCCTAAGATGACCCTTAGAATATATTTTATATTTATGTGTTCTATTCATGATAAATATTATATAAAATAGTAAAATATTTATAATAATAAATAATTATAATAAATATTACTTGCTATTAGACACCGAAAGCACGACAATTTAACCTAACCTAATCTAACTTAACCTCTTAATATACATGCATAAATCTATATAATTAAATATTTATATAATAAGTTTTACGTATTACCCAGTTTTCAGTATTGCACGGTACGCAAGTTATAATAACATCCGCGGCAATCTCACACGAACTGAGCAATTGGACACATCCGTCCCGCACGGCGGCTAGTAGCGAAGGAAAGAACCATTGGCCCAGTGATGCAAACTTTGGGTTCCGTGCACCATCAAAGTGTTACGCTCGGTACTCACTCACACAGGCGCAACCGTGTCCGTGTGCTGCGCAGAGTCTCTGCGCAGCACACAGACACGGTTGCGCCTGGTGAGTGAGTACCGAGCGTAACACTTTGATGCCTTTGATGGTGCTCGGAACCCAAAGTTTGCATCTCTGCATTGGCCACGTGTAGCGGGAAAAGTTGCTCAGTGAGCGCTTCGCACTGATTGGGTTATACTTTTAGATCTACGCTGTGATAGAACTATGTATGTATATATATTTACAGCTTTCCCCA